TTACGTGGTGTTGAAGAAGATGGAGCTCTGCAGCTCGATTGTGGTTGGGGTGGGCCCGTGCTTACGCGAACAAACTTCTGATAGGTGACTGTATACCAGGGTCCCAAAGCACTATACCCAGTTGGTGAGAAACACACAGCTAACAGTAACATCAGTATAAAGGCATAGTACCAATTTGCTGAACCTGTCCTCTCCTCAGCGTCCGCTTGAGAGCCGTGGTCATAATATTCGTTCAAGACAGACATTGCGATAATCTTGAACTACAACTTCGCACCCACAGAACCCTGTACTTTAACCGCCTCATCAACAGCAGCCATAGCATGCAGCAGCCTCTCATCCTGAAGTCTCGGCGCAACAACCTGGACGCAAAGCGGCGTGTCGAGATAAACTGAGCGATCAAAGTTCGTCCCTGCATCCTAATTAGCACAATGCCCACATGGAACTTTTAAGGTTGAAAAAGAAAAAAAAGAAAACTTACACAAAGCCCTATTCGCCTTATCCCAACTCCCCAATTCCTTTCCCTCCATCTCCCCCAGCATATCCGCCTTGCCAAACCGCCTCACAGGAACCACACCCGCGGGGTAATCTAGCAGCACAAACGAACTCGTGTAGCTAACCCCATTGTAGCCATCAATCGGGGGCACAGGATGCGGCGCCACAGGACAAATAAACGCATCAATCTCCCCCGCTTGCTGCTTCCAAATTTTCAAAAACTCTGTTCGCAACTTCTCACGCTTACCATGTAATTCCTGTACTTTCTGCAACGACATGGGTGGCCTGCGTTTAAGACGCGAGGAGAGCCAGGGGGATAAGGGCTCGCCGGTTGATTCAATGAGGTCGAATATTGCGTTTCCGCCTTCGATGCCGAAGAGAGCGTTGCAGAGGGATTGGCATTGGGAGAAGAGCGGGGTGATGTCCATTTCTACGACTTCGACACCGGAGGTGAGGAGAGCGGATTTGACTTCGTCGAGGAGGCGGAGGATGGGTGGGTGAGGATCGATGACGCCGTCGCGGCGGACGATGCCGATGCGGAGGGGGCGTTTGGGGAGGGAGAGTGAGAGCCAGGGGAGGGGCGCGACGTCTGGGTCGGCTTCCCAGGGTTTCTGGGCGGAGACAGCGTGAAAGAAGAGGTTGATGTCGCGAATGCTGTGGGCGAGGGGGCCGGCGCTGGCTGGGATCCCAATCTTTGAGGCACCGGGGAGGGCGCCGTGCTCTTGACCCGCGTAGGGGATACGTTCCCAGCTGGGCTTGACGCCAAAGGTTCCGTCACACATGGCTGGGATGCGGATACTGCCTCCGACATCTGTACCTACGCCTAGGATAGAACCGCGCATGGCTATTAGGGCGCCCTCACCGCCAGAGCTTCCACCAGCTGTTACGGCGGTGTTGAGCGGGTTGATGGTGCGGCCAAAGACATTGTTGTGGGAATCTAGGGCCATGAGGGTTTGCGGGACGTTGGTCTTGCAGTATATGACCGCCCCGGCGTTGAGCAAGCAATCGACCAGGACGGCGTTTTCGTTTGCTGGCTTGAAACAAAGCGCGGCAATGCCGATAGATGCATCGAAGCCACGAACCTTGAAGGAATCTTTAAGAGAGACTGGCACACCGTGGAGAGGCCCAAGAGGCGCTTTTCCTGACGCCAAGTGAGCATCAAGCTCCGAAGCTCTCTTCAGCGCATCTTCAAAGAAGATTTCTGTAAGGCAGTTTGTGAGTTGGTGTGCAATGGCTGCTCTCTATCTCGATATTAGTATCTCATCTATCTTTCGATTACCCTGTAATTGACACAATGCTTACTTTACAAAATGCTTTAGTTACATCGAGACATTTCAATCTCTTTTCCCTAATTGCCGCAGACAACGCAACAGCATCGTACTGCTCTGTGATTTGAAGCTCTTGTTCAGTCAAAAGTCCACACTGGCGTGGTATCTCAGTGTAGTTGGTAACCTCGGGTCCGGGCAGAGTTCTCAGCGTCCAGTCTGCTGGTATGCGCGAATCTCGCTCAGCTTTCTTTTTCTTGGAAATGAGCTCCCAGTTGGCTGGTGCTGGTGATTCTTTGGCCGACATGTTGATGGCTGATAATGGTGGAATGTCGTAGTGTGACGTTGTGAGGGCTGGATGAAGCTGGGGTAGAAGCCGAGGTTGGCCGGATCTGGAATAGTGGCTGGGGCCGCGGATAGCCAGGGTGCAAGTGGGCTCAAGGGGCGACTCTCCCCAGTCTCTTGGTCGTCTTGATCGGTCATGTCAACATCTGTCCCAAGACGCAGGCTCACTAAACCAATACCTCAACACTGTTCGCTGCTCTTTTCCATTTGAAGCTGCGCAATGTTCTGTTTTTTGTCTTCTTTTTCCTACACCCAAAACGATGCGCTGAGATAGCAGAATGCCCCTCCACACTATGGCATGTGTGCTGGCGGCTGGAGCATGCACCGAAAGATGCCCAGTGGTCTTGGCATTGATGGGAGTGAAGGTTCAAGAAGCCATTGGTAGGATACGTTGAGCTGAGTGAGACGGGGCGTAATTCAGTGAATTCATCCAAGAAGACCACCCCGCACTGCGCGGCTATCGCAACACGATGAAAGCACGTCGAAATGATTCCTCTGGCAGAAAAGACGTTACATGTTTTCGCGGCGAGCAAGGGGATTGCGGCATGCTGGAACGGGACGAAAAGGGTGAAGAATCGCGTTGTCGGCTCTGACCCCTGGTTAAGGCTGGCAAGGCGCGAGCGGTAGCGCTGATCTTTTCCCTCAACGGCCAGTCCCTGACCCTGCCCCAGAATATTTTCCCTTTTTACGGTCTTTGGCAATCTGGCACTCCGACGCACGCTGTCACTGTGCTCTTATTGTTAAGCTAGACCGCTCATTGGCATTGGATCGCTGCTCTCTTGTTTTCTTCTTCTCTATTTCTCTCTCATCTTTGGCTTCTCCGCCGCTCGTTGCTTTCTCACCCTCTTTTTTTTAATAGACACGGCCTCTGTTTATCATCCCGACATGGTGACCACAAACTCGTCCCTGCCCAAGGGCGCGCACCCTTACTACCCCGTCGAGAAGGAGATTATCGGCTACCTGGCCAACACAAGCGGCACCTTTGACCTGGTGCTCAAGTTCGCGGCTGGGTGCGTGGCCATCTTCGGTGTCACGTATGTTATGGTCAAGCGGTTACGTCCTAATGCCAGCACCGGGGACCTGTCCACCATCATGTGGTTTGTCCTGTGCGGATGCATCCACTCATTCTTCGAGGGCTACTTTGCCTACAACTTCCGTAACATGGGCGGCATGAACGATTTGTTTGGCCAGCTGTGGAAAGAGTACGCACTGAGCGACTCCCGCTACCTGACCCAGGACGCCTTTGTGCTCTGCATGGAGACAATCACTGCTGTATGTATCTACCAGACTAAGACGTTGATCGTCGTGCGCCGTGTCACGGGCTGACCCTTGCTGTAGGTATTTTGGGGCCCGGGCTCGTTCCTGACTGCCTACCTCATCTCCATCGACCACCCGCTCCGCTACCCGGCCCAGCTCATTGTCTCGCTTGGTCAGTTCTACGGCGATGTCCTATACTACACGACCTCCCTGTTCGACCACTACATCCTCAACCTGTCCTACTCGCGCCCTGAACAGTTCTACTACTGGGGCTACTTTGTCCTCATGAACGCCTTTTGGATCGTTATCCCTGGATACCTCATGTACCAGAGTGTCATGGCCACGTGGAGTGCGTTTGCGGCTGTCAACGACGCAGCCAGGCTGGTTGAGAAGTTGGGCAAGAAGCGAAACTAGGCAAAGAGTATAGTTGTTCGGTCGTGGTGGCAGGATCCTCGGAGGATGAGAGTGGGGGGTTGAGGGGACGCTAGGGACGTGGCCATCGTTGTTACGAATGCATGTCTGCATGAGTGGGTTGGCACATTCAGCAGTAATCTAGATCTTGAGTTCACTGCTTACTTTAAGTGGACCTGAAGTTATCTTTATAATACGAGTAGAAAAAGGACAAGGGTAGACTATAGAATTCATCACATGTAAGCTACCACTATGGTTCTATCTTCGGGTCGTGCGTTGAGGTAATAAAATTACCGGTGAGATTTTAGAGTCGAAGCATTGGCGGAAATGGGCTGATCATAAATTGCTTCTTTCTGCAGATCACATCATTCCCCATGCAAACAAAACGCCCAGCCCAGTTCTTCGTTGTTTGGTAGGCTGTGTTTTCTTGTTTCTACTAGACTTCTTGGTCAACGCAGAACGCCCCTCCACCCCACGTCCGCCCAGACATCCCTCGTCACGATGCAGTTAAGCGCACGCCTTGTTTCTTATTTTGGCCTTTTCAGCTGCACTGCAGCGCTGCCTCGCAGCACGCAAGATGCGTCACGTGCACTTTCCCTGCAAATGGCGCAGTCCATCATGGCTCGCGAGCAAGGTATCCTGAGCAGCGGGCAAGATTCATCTGGGCTTCTTCAAGCTGGATTCGTCCAGAAAGCGTTTCACGCACTTGTAACACAATACCCGCAGCATATCTCCAAGTCTGCAATCGATGCGTACGTTCTTAAGAGCCTGGATTCCGTTGTCCCAGTTGTGTCCAATGCCACAAAAGATACCACTTACCCACTCGACCGGTTGAGCAACGGAAACGGACTTGTACGAGCATGGCAAGAAACAAACAACGAAAAATACCACACCGCCGCTACAGCACTACGACACAGCATTGACTTGCAGCCGAAAACCGCAGAAGGAGGCCTATGGTACTACGTCTACCCCTACTGGAGCTATCTCGACGGCATGTACAGCTTCGCCCCCTTCATGGCCGCTTACAGCCAGGCCGTGGAGAGCAGTAACAAACAGGATTGCCAGTCAGCCATTGTGCAGCAGCTCGACCTGCTGTGGCGTCACTGCTACGACGACAAGACAGGGCTGCTGGTGCATGGGTACGACGCCCGCCGCGCAGCAGTATGGGCGAATAGCATCTCAGGCGCGAGTCCGCACGTCTGGGGCCGCAGTCTGGGATGGTTCTGCATGGCGCTCGTGGACCTGGTCGAACTACTTCCTGCTTCTGCGCGCGAAGCCAGAGAGTACGTCGAGGGCAAGTTGCAGATGCTCTTGCCGGCGGTGGTGCGCGCGGCAGATGGAAAGACGGGGGGTTGGTGGCAGGTCATGGATCAGCCGGGCAAGCAGGGGAATTATATTGAGAGCAGTGCGAGCAGCATGTTTGTGTATGCGCTGCTGAAGAGCGTGAGGCTGGGGGTGTTGGGGCGGGGCGGGGATGCGGACGTGTATTCGCGTGTGGCGCGTAGGGCTTACGAGTATGTTGCTGACAGCTTTGTGGTGCATAATGGAAATGGAACATTGGGGTGGAATGGCACGGTGAGCGTGTGCAGTCTGAATTCGACGGCTACGTACGAGGTATGTATTTGCGACATGGGGAGAGGTGTTGAAGTTGAAGTTTGCTGACTAGTGCGCTTTTTTAGTATTATGTTGGGAGGCCGATTTTGTATAACAGCGTATTGGGCAGTGGGGCGTTTGTGCTGGCGAGCTTGGAGTACGAACGGCTGGGTCAGAAATAGAGGACGGCAAAGGGGACGGTGCAGAGGTAGCGGCAATGTGCATGTTTTGGGTGGTTGATGTGAAAATAGAAGGCTGTTTTAATGTTGGATGCACAATGATGTACATGGGGGTCGGCAGGCACAATGTTGGCAGCAAAGAGGCCGCCGATGCATGCAATTCGCCGACGACACGTATGTAAACTTGGAATGGCAGCTGTCTGTCCGCTTGGCATGGATGCGTGTCTTTTGGCCCTGGAGACTGGACGTGGGTCGGCGGGGCTGCTCGTCTCTGTTGTCTGGATGGAGAACATGTGTCAAGTAGCTAAGTATCCATGAAGACAAGCAAAAGAAAAAGGTCGCCGCCCAGGCTCAGGGCGGGCGGGTGCATCGGAGCATATCCAACTAAGTATGCGCGTACTAAGTAGGCAAGGCAGCGTGCTCGCCGATCGCCCACCACCACCGATCGGCTCTTATCGCGTCTTTCTTTGGTCGTCGCAGTCGAGTCGAGTCGGCCTAGGGGACGTGCCATGCATGCACCACGCCAGGCCGGCCTTGGGCGCTATCCGCACCTATTGGGTCATCCAACATCATCACACCGGCTTGCGGCCTGTCTCGCTCCCATTGCGCTACCGCCAGCCCTCTCCCTCCCATAATCACTGTGCCTATGTACGGCGCCGCGGCCTTCACCTCGCCTGCCCCATACACTCGCTGGCCCGTGATACACACAAACACTCTGCCCTCGCCGTCACGGCCTGCTGCGGGCTCCTGCGTAGCTCTGGAAACGCCCACCAGCCACACTCGACCACAGCTCAAAAACACAACAACACCAAACCACCCGTCTTCACCTCCCCCCGCGACCACCGTCCCCCGCGACGCCCCACTGCTTGCTCCAATGATTGCGGGACTCGATGCCCGCTTCCCCCCGGCCCAGTGACCCCCAAGACTCGACTGGACAGAAGAGAAATGGCCCGCCAGGCAAGAAGATGGGCGCGACGGACAAACAGACCGGCATGGATGGCAAGGACTTTGCAAAGGCAATTGGAATCAACAAGCCCGCCAACGTGCGCGACAAGATAAAGCGCTGGCAGCAGAACATTGAGCCAGAGGCCGCCGCTACAACACCCACTCCCGCAACTCCTGCAACCCCAGCGGCGGCCACGACAACCACGGAAGATGCAAGCGCTGTCTCTTCACCCACACCCGCTGCGCCCATCACGCCCGCTACCCCTACTACCCCCGTCACGACACCCAAGGCAAAGACCCTCGACGACAAGCCAAATTGGAAGCCTTCGCACGAACGGGGCAAGTCTGTCGGTGCCAGTCCAGAGCGCCCCGGCAGCGGAAAGAAGACGCCCATCCCCCACAACGAGCTCGACGAAGATGTCCTCACTGCAACTGCGCCTAAGAAGCGCGTCATCAGCGACTCGCATTGGCGCAGCAAACAGCCACCCCCCAAGGACGCCGCCGGCCGCCCCCAGCCCAAGATCATCGCCAATGCCTGGGTCCGCCCCTCGAAAATCATTCCCAAGAAGCCCGCTAGTCCTGAACTCAAACCCCTTGCGCCAGTAACCCTCCAGCAGAGCCCTCTCCTCCCCTTCGCCGAGTATATTGGGAAAAGCACAGGACAGATCAAGGCTCCACCCAAACAACCCAAACCCTCAAAGCCCTCCAGCTCTGGCAGCGACCAACGACCAACAAGCAGCGGTGGAGGGAGCGGGAAGAGCGCAAAGAGTGACAAGGGTGCAAAAAGCCATGAGCAGCGACCTAAATCAACGTCTCCGAAGCCAGAGAAGGAAAAGACGGAGCTGGTGAGGGTGCGACCTAGTAGACGGCGTGCGCGTACTTCCCCGCGGGGATCCATGTCAGCAGACGACCTTGCAAAATACCCACAGAGACCTGCCCACAGATCCGACACAGCCCTGAGCGAGGACCCCAATCTAGTTGTCACAGTCGAGTACGAGGAGGAGAGCGCCGTTTCATTCCCACGAGAGAGCAGAATTACTTCGCCGCGAAATGACGAACTCAGAGAGCGAAGACGACGGCGCCGCCCGCGAAGCCAAGGCGACCGTACAGCCGATGAAGCTCTCAAGAACCCCCAGAAACCCTCACGAAGGAAGAGTCGCAGGTCATACCCAAGGACCGAGGAGGAGGCCGCCACGCCATTGATAATCCCAGCCGCGTCAGATACACCTCCCGCCAGGCCTGTAGGAAGCCGCTTAGAAGCCTGGCTCAGCAGCACGCCCGACCCCCTCGTGAACCCCAAAACCCGCCCCAGGCGAAGAAGATCCAAGGATTCTGCATCCAGCTCAGAGCTGCCTTCAAATCTGGGAACATCAGAAGTGACTCTGTCCACTGACGTGACGGAAACACCTGTCAAAAAATCACGCTCGCGACGTAGGCGTAGATCCAGGGGATCCGCTTCGTCCCAAGATCTCCCTGCCGCAGCCGGCAGGTCCGAGGTCACTGTGTCGACAGAGGCGACACAAGACGAGCCTGCAAAGGAATCGCACAAGAGGAGAGGATCCAAGGACTCCGTGTCATCCCTTGATCTGCCCTACCCGGCCGAGAAATCAGAAGTCAGTGCATCCACTGAGAGGACAAGACCCGACTCTGTCGACAAGGACCGCCGTCGCAGCAGTGGAAGTGGCAGTGCCAGCAGCAGCAAGCAACGACGCAGGCAAGCCAGCCGCGAGATGACCATCAAGACACAAGATCTTGAGGAGGCCCCGTCCACCATCGCCTCTGATGCCATGAGCGAAACGACTGTCCAAGACAAAGATAGCGAAGTGTCCTTTGCCTCAACACCAAGTCTGAAGCGCCGTGGTGCAAGGCGCAAAAGCCAGTACTCCCCCACGAAGGGTCGATCCATGTCATCTCCCCTTCGCGAATCCACCTCTATAGACGACATGCCCAAGGAAAACGCTCGAGACCAAGAGGCAAAAGAAGCTACACCCTCTGAGGCTGCTGACGATCACATGGCTGATCTGATGCCACAGCCACTGCGACCACGTCAGATATTGGGCCCGCGCATGTTCCCATCCACTGGCAAGCGCCTCTCTACAATTGCCTCTCAATCAACGCGATCATCAGGCGTTGGTGCCTCAGACACAGTGAGTGCCTTCTCTGAGCGAACCCGAACCCGAGCGCCTTCGTCTGAAGTCGGCTCGCTCCTGAACCCCGAAACCTCGACAATCATCAGTCGCCAGAGCACCCGCCGGAGGAAAATTGCCAGGCATGAGGACCTCATGTCAGTACTCTCCATGCCCAAAGCAGCAGGCTCCAAGAGCATCGTCTCCGCTCGCAGCATTCGTACCAACAGGAGCCGCCTAGCCACTGCCACCATTGAAGATATCATGCAGGAGCTCTCCTCTGACGAGGCCAAATATATGCGAGAGCTCCGCACTCTTGTCGATGGTGTCATTCCTGTTCTTCTCAGCTGTGTCCTAAACAAATCAGAGGCCGCCATTGCTGCTGGACTCTTCTCTCGCTCATCCAAATCAACAGATCCAAGTGAAATCACAAAGCCCATTGTCGACATGGGTGTCTGTCTAGAGCGACTCAAGACCCTGCATAAGCGCGTCCCCACGGACGACTCTGATGAACTGATTGAGTGGGCACAGAGCGCACAGCGTGTCTACTCTGACTACATTTCCGTCTGGCGTCTTGGCTTCCAAGATGTGGTAATCAGCCTTGCACCCGCCGACGAAGATCCCTTTAAGCCTGCCAAGGTTGTCAATGGCCCAGATGATGGCGCCCCTTGGGATGAGGGCATGCCACGCAACGCAGAAGGATACGTCGTCAACAGTGACGGCGAGCGTGTTGATGTTGCCTATATGCTCAAGCGCCCACTGGTGCGACTCAAGTACCTCTCCAAGAGCTTGAAGGTTTGTGAAGTCACTTCAAACATTTCTAGCTCATATACTGACTTTCCTAGGGCATCAACCACGTGAAACCATCCGAGCGCGTAGAGAAGGTGTCAAGCATCTTCCAAGACTTGGTCATCGCCGCCCGAAAGCGGTCCAACGATGAGCAGGCCCGCCTCGAAGACGAAGCAGCAGCCGACATCGACCCCACCCGTGCTCGTGATCCTCGCAGTCTCGCTCCTCTTGCGGGCGTGCGAGTTGATCCGTCGCGATGCGTGCGAGCTAGGGACCATTTTGATTTGCATCTCTACCATTCGAGTGGTCAAGAAATGAGTTGTCGCGTTGAGATTTTACTCCGCGACAATGCTCCAGGTCAGGGCGCTGGAGGTGATATTCTGATTTGTGAAGTCGATTCCACGGGACGATGGTTACTCCTGCCACCGGTCCAGCTGAGTAACGCATCGGCTCGCAATGGCGATGCCAAGGGCGAGATTATTGTCATGATCCGCGGAACTCAGGCAGATGGTTCCGAATGGAGCGAGGTCATGTCTCTAATCTCTGACGATGAACAGGCTGGTTTCGAGTGGGTACAGATGCTTGGGCTCAATCCCATCCCCCCTGAATTGTCCGAAGTCAGGAAGATCCAAGCCGCAACCAATCAAGCACAGCGAACAAGCAGCCATGGCTCGTCTTCCCCATCTCATGCAACAGGCTCAACCGCACTAGACAAGAGCCGAACCCCCAGCCCACATGAGATTGATATTCCTATCGGCGAACGACACACAGAAGTATCAAAAGTATGGCACTACGATACTCCACACAAGCGAAACAAGTCACGGACAGTGTCGCCCATTACACCTCCAAGCGGCGATGCCTCCTTCAGTAATCCTTACGACACCCAAGCAGAGCCACGTACGCCGGTTGAACAAATGTTCCATACAGGTCAGTCACACGATGATACTGACCGGACACCTCGTGGCCTCGACGAAGCAGTGCGCATGGCCAACACTGGTTCTCCATCAAGCCTTAAACGAACAAGAGCAAAGAGGCTTTCCAAAAATCCCTCGTCTCCACACTCCGGACGTCCATCCCGCCAAATTACACTGGATGATCCCACTGAACCAGAAGATGTTAAACCAGCCGAGGACCTCCCCAAGCCCCGTAGAAAGTCCACGAAGCGACGACCCCAATCACTTCCGTCTGCACCATCAGCGCTTTCGCAATCAAGCAAGGGTTTCAGCGTCTGGATGCCAACCTCTGAGGTTGATGACTCGGACTCGGACTCTTCTGAAGGAGACAAACGCACAGTCACAGAGTCGGAGCTTTCACCTCCTGGCTCCCCGCCTTCACCCCAACGTCCACAACAACACAGGCGGGTCTCATCTGTGCCTTCTTTGGAACTTCCCAGTATTCCCAGACAACGAAAGTCAAGTCGTCCTTCCACACCTTCTGAGGATTCACGTGTAGAATCCGAGAATGTTCGTGAAGTAGCCTCGGCGCCTCCCAAGATGCATCAGAAGAAGCATAGCATCACGGTTGAGGATATTCAAGAGCCAGAGGCTCGGGCTGACGTACCACCCCCACCTACTCCACCACATCGTTCCCCCAGCCCGGCAAGCCCTGAAACACTAAAGGGCTCCAAAACTCCCGTACTCCTACCGACACTACCTGGCTTCAGGGGCAAGCGCCGTTCATCTTCACCACTGAAGCACGAGTATGAACCATCTACCTGCACGGAAGAGTCGAGTGAAAGCGAGGAGGAGTCTGAATCCGAAGAAGAAGCCGGTGAAGAACAAGAAGAGAGTGCTACTTCTGAGTCATCCGAAGATGAGCTAGATGATGATGTGCCCATGCCATTGATGCCAATCGGATACATCGGACCCCGCGGATATACTTCGCGCCCACAAACTGCGGTTCGCGAGCCCAGCCGCCCGACTACGGCTGAGAAAACGGAAGAGGATACGAAGAAGTTCCCCAAGGTGTCACCGCCACCTTCCATCTATACCCTGCCTAATGGGACCATCACTCCGTCCCAATCCGCATCAAACTCGCCTTACCGGACCGTTCCGCAAAACTCTGGAAAGGCCTCACGCACGATAGCGTCCCTGTTTGCTTGGTCTGACCAGGGCAAATGGGACAGCCTGCACCCCGACGAATGTAGTATTGTCGTCACACCAGGAAAGATTGAGGTCTTTGAAATCTCAAGCAATCATTCTAAACCTTTCCTCGCTGACGGCGACGAGATCATCACTCCCGAGGGAGGTGCTCCCCTTATTGCGGTTGAGCTTACCCCTCTGGTACCGTTGCGTAAATCAACGGCTATAGATATCTCCATTCGTTCCCCACCTACCGGGGAGTCGCGTCTCAAACCTGGAAATAACATCATGTTGAGGAGTCGCAATGCGACTGAATGCACTCAGTTGTACTCCATGATTAACCAGGCGCGTATCAACAACCCCACGTACATTGCGCTGCAGAATGCACGCGGCCCCTACGGACAATCAAGCTGGGCCGAAGCAATGGACCGTCAGAACGCAGCTAGAACGAGCAGCGAAACTCCTTCTGGATGGATCGGAGGCACACTGGGCAGGAGAAGCAGCTACCGAAAGTCAAGCACACGTGCTGCTTCCGTCTCTGCTGCCACTGAATCTTCAGTCGGAACCATGAACAGCGCTCTTCGCTCGGCGCTGGGCCGATTTTCGTTCGGCAAGAATGGCGTTTTCAGCATCCGCAACTCGACTCTGGGATCACGCAGTACCGGCTCGTCCTTTGACAGCGGCTCCAACTCTCGACCAGGCTCAGGTGCCTCAACCCCTACCGGTGACATCACTCGAGCACCTGGCGCGCCACCTGGCATCACAAACACAAAGTGCAGGCTCTACGAGCGCGAGTCACTTAAGAAATGGCGTGACATGGGCAGCGCCAGGCTAACCATCATGCTGCCCTCACCCAACCCCAGCATGCCCTCGTCGCCCACCAACTCTCGACAACGCGCCCCTGGTACACGAGACCACCGCCAGGAACGACGCATCGTGCTGACGGGTAAGAAACACGGCGAGCTCCTTCTTGACGTGCAGTTGTCCGAGACGTGCTTTGAGCGCGTGGCCCGTAGCGGCATAGCAGTCAGCGTATGGGAAGACAATGTCGACGAAGCTGGCCAGATTGGAGGTGTTAGCAAGACGGGCGGCGTGCTGGGTGCGCGCGCTCGTGTCTTTATGATTCAGATGAAGAGTGAGAGAGAGTGTGCGTATTGCTTTAGCCTTTTGGGCAAGTTGAGGTATTAGAAGTCGTGAGAGATGTGAGAGTTATATGGGGTGGGGATATGGGAGGTTGAGGGATGAAGCGATGAACTCTTTTTTCGACTTTTTTCTTGATTTGCGTTGTAACACAAAACATACCCGAGCGAACCTCCTTTTTTGCACATATTAGTGGACATTTTTTTTATAAAACTAATACTACATTCTTCTCTTTTTGATTCGATGACTGGGAGATGTATATGTTCGAGATTGGGAGGGAGGACCAGTGTAAAGTGAGAGAAAAAGATGGTTGTACATAGTTTCGGTTAGGTAGCGATAGATGCATGTATGTAGTGCGTAATGTCACACCTATACTCACCTCTTCTTTTGTACATGGGAATCACCTAGTTTATCCATCAAACATAGCTTACCTTCTTATCTCTCTCTCTCTTACACATACACGCACACGTGACATCCACATCTACATCCCTTGCACATACCCTACCTTACCCTATGCTATCTCTCTCTCACAACCATGTTCCCCACACCCCCGCCACCATGCGCCACCACAACGTGACAAAGTGCAGCCCCGCACCACCTGCTATCCGCCACAGGTCTTTTCCCGCATAGCATTACACTCGGGTATTTTAGCTCCAACGGCGGCGTGATTGGATGGTGGAAGTGCCGAGACTGCGGTGTGGTTTGGATAAGATAGTAAGCCTTGGGACTTGGCGGTAGTATCCACTTGTATTTCTGTACGACTTTTCTGGTTTTTTCTGTAAATGGGGTGATGGGGTGTTGATGCGGCGGCGTTATGGCTCCGAAGGGGGTGGTTGTTTGTTTCGTGGGGGTAGGGATGTTTTTTTTTAATTATTATTGCGGTTTGGGGCGAGAGGTTTCAACGGGGGGGAGAGAATTACTGTGTAGGTACGGCTGGGATTTGGTATAAGAGGGAGGTTAAGACTGTGACTAAGTTGATTCTCGGGGGGGAGGGGGGGGGACTGTAATGGGGCCGGGTGAGAGGGTAGGGTAACATGAGTATAAGTCACTGTGGAGGGTGGTTGTGGATCTTGTAAGTGTCTAGAGTGGGTGTTTTTGTTGGAACAAGGTTTTATTTATTAATGTATATTTAATATATAGGAAGCACATAGGACAGGATTAACTGCGCAATCGCAGAGTTTATACATGCGGCACTTTTTCCATCCGGCAGTTTTAGTCCCCCAAGTCCAATGCTTCACTCCCTAGCGCCACGCTAGCGCCCGTTCTCTTGCGTGGCCGCCAAAACGTACGTATACGCTTACCGAGCCCGCTTACCGAACCCACGATTTGCCGTTTCCATACTCCGATGCCTCAGAACACAGCCCAGATATACTCCCAGATTGGGCTTCTTATCAGACGGGAAAAAACGGCGCTGGTCCGAATCAAGTCCAAGTACATGCGCGTATGTACACTTACTTGGAAAAGATACGTCACCTGGCTGAGCCACCACCACCACAAACCTACCTCAGCGTATAGACACGACCGATACGTAAGTACAGAAAACAAGCGATGCTGACATAGCGGGTGTTTGTTTCAATCCTAGCCCGAGGGGTGCTGCGCCCCTAAATTTCGGTAGTACATGCAAAAAAAATGGTCCCGCGTAAACACTTACTTACTGCGACGAGATTAGCAGGTACAAGTCGAATGTTTCTGCTCGCCGCGAGAAGATGACGAGCTGACGAATCGCAGGTGAGATGTGTTGTGCTGGCGGTTCCGGAATAAAGCCGGTGGGGCCCTTGCGTATGTAGATGCAGGGACGGCCGGCGAGGCATGTTCCCTGGGCGCTGGTCCTCATTTGGGGAGAGAAGAGCACGTACGTATATACGCATCTAGAGTAATAATCAGCAATAGCCTAAGCTAGGGCTGTGCGACATGTGAGATAGAGCGGTGGGAGAGATATAAGGGTTTGGTTTCCCTTGTGTGCTTGTGCCTGGATACTACAGAACTCACATCAATCATCCGATCTTCATAAAACATTTCAAACGACTTACTATATAATATTCGAACACTTCCGCACGACTAGGATTTCTCAAGATGCGCGTTTCGCTTTTCGTCTCAGCACTCGTTGCGCCGCTTGCCCTTGCAGCTCCCACACTCGAGACCCGCCAGGCTGCTCCCGTTAAGCCCGCACCGTGTGTGCGTAACAGCAAGGTCACAGTCGAGGAGACGAGAGTGCGATCTGAGCAGTTTGCGCAAGCCTTCATCTACAAGCGGGATATCAGCAAAGCGTTTACGTTTATCGCGGTCGATTATGTTGTATGTTGTCCTCCTACTTATCCCGTCTCCACAAGGGGCAGAAGCACATTGGGGAAATAGTTTGACTGACTCGATTGATTACAGAACCATAACCCACAAGTAGCCAACGGATCCGCCGCCGCATGGGAAGCTCTCTCCCCCTTCTGGAACACTGCCAATATGACTGCCAAGCGTAATACCTTCATCTCTCCCATGAGCTGGGTTAACTACGACTCTTCGTTCGGCGACGTTGTGGACCGATTTAGGTGGGAGGGCGGATGTATTGTTGAGCACGTAAGTTACAAACAGCTTGTGATGGGTGCTGAGAGATTCGTGCTAACGCAGTGATACAGTGGGACCAAGACGAGAAGTTTCCCGAAATTAAAGGCTGCAAGGCTGTCTACTAAAGCATGATGGCACGTAATATATGACCTTGTTTATAGAAGATACCGTGGGTATGGGAGTTTCTGGTGGGGATGAGGACGTATATATGATATCTTTCTTGTACATGTCAAATGTAACGCAACGATACCGTTCCATCTTCCTGCTTCACTCGCGTCACAAACGTCTCAGATCCTTCGTCAACTTTACAAAGCTGGCAGTGTGTTCGACAAGACACTCAGCCAGTCCTACCTCGACGCCTAGTTCTATCACACGACACTTCTTACCCACTACGTAAGTACAACGTCGCGAAACTTTATTTCGAAAAGCCGCACTAGTAGCGCCCGTTAAGCATAAACCATCCGATAATTCGACCAAGTCCGAGAGCTCAGACATCGATAATCACCTTCTTGCCCTCCTCCTTGGACTCGCTCTTGGACTCGCCCTTGGACTCGTTATCAGGATGTAGCATCTGCGCATCCGAAGGGCCGGAGCTACCATCGGTGTAGTGCACTGCATCGGCATCCACATCGAGATAGTCTTCTCCACGCAGCAAACTGTATCCCTCTCCACTCTGCTTTCTCTCTTCGACCTGCGGTGCGCGAGCGGTGAAGCTACTATGGCAGTTGGGACACTTGTGTACTTGTGCAGCCATAAAAAGCGAGGCCACTGATCGCGCATTGAGAGCGAAAATGTAACCATGTATGAGCCTTTTTTTTCGCAAACCAATCAGCCATTTCCACTCTACATGAAATCTTTCCCCTTATGTAATGTAAAAGAAGGGAGAGAGAGAGAGGGCTTACATATTGACAATCATAGGCGCAGTTGTGTATCCAGCCAAAAGCCCAAATCCTGGCCTTTCCAGGTTTCCGATTTCAACTGCCCAAATTGCAGTCAGGATGCTCACGTACGCGATGAATGCCACGCCATCGACTAGTTTGAAGCTTGCTTGGGGCATACGTCCATATCTCCTGTGGTGGATGAGGGTTCTAGCTGAGGCGAAGGCGGTGAGAGCGAGCGGGATGTATCCGAAGCAAAAGGCTGTGACGGGGCGGTAGCGCCACCAGACGTGATAGTTGAGCGATACAATCGTTGTGGCGATGAGAAGGGGTAGTGAGATGACGGTGGTAAGAAGAGTTAGTACACGAAGAGGGAGTTCGTAGGTAGCGAGCTTGCTCTGGGTGGGAGACATGATGTTTAATTCCCAAGGCTAAGGGAGGGTTTGTTTTTTTGATGATTCACAAAAAGGCTGATCTTGGATTCGGCTTTTCTTGGGTATCTATGACTTTTGGATGAAGAGTCTGAGGGAAATAGAGGCGTCTTTTTGGTCATGTATAAGACTGAGGCAATCCCCTAGGCAACAACGATTCCTTAAAGCAAAGCCACGAGGACGCCGCGCGGACGTACATGATACAGCAACTCTGCTCCTCTTGTCGCCCAATCAGGTGTGCCACGGGACAGGGTAAAGCAAACATGAAGCATACTGCTGCTGCAAGACTTCCATCATCGAGGCTCTGGCCCAATCAATACTTGGGATGAAGCTGGGTTAGGTGCACCGATTCGGTATAGCGTTGTTTGTGGGGGTACTCGGGTCCCCTAGGCTCGTTGTCTGGGGGGCCGGGAGCGCGCGGCTTGGTGCAAAAATATCACAACTTTACGCCTGAAGGAAGTATAGATGGCTGGAAATATGAGGTCATGGGGGTGTGAATATGCTGTGTCCTGTTCAGGATGCTGTCACATATTGAAGTCATTGTTCGCGCGCAGTTTTGTAGTCAACAGTGAGGCTAGCAATATCAATCGTAAAATCGTATTCATATTTTGAAATATTTGTCATCCTCTTCAAAAATTATATCTCTTGGGCTTCTATAGTTCATGTGTACCACGGCGGGACGTTGGGGCGCATGACTACGCCGCCAGTCAAACACAACGTCCTTCGGCGGCACTGGTGGCGGCGACTGATTGTCCACCCTCCATCCTTCATTATGTAAGATGTTTCTGACCCCCTCTGGGCTCAGAGGACGTAGAGTGACTGGCGTGCTTAAGCCTGTATTTATGGACGGAGACTTACCATCTCCACGCCCTATGGTAACAGTCGTCCTGCTAGTCCCGCGCCCGCTAAGCGAGCTACTGGCCCTGATCCGGCTACTGAGCACGCTATTGCTCCTGAACAGATTGAGCGAGCTATTATTGCTATAGTGCTTCACTTTGATTGCAAGGGGCCTCAGTATTGGCAGGGTTGCACACAAGATGCCGACGTTGACTTCGACCATGGACCATGTGTTGACAGGGACGAATCCGTAAATGGGGTCGTCGGAAGTGGTGAAGATATAGAGAAATCGGAACCTGATGATGGAGGCTATCATGCTCACAACTCCCAGTCCGAGATTAATGTATAATGCGAGCTTTTCGCGTGGTTTGCGGGGTATGCGCCGGATGAGTTGGATGGGCAGAGTGAGGATCCATATGTCGATGAGTATGTGGAAAGAAGACGACGCTGTGGCGTTTTAGTAAGAGAAATAAGAACTATATGGCAGTCGTGTCGAGAAGAGAGTCATACCATGATAGAAAGCATTGATGTTGATGCAGAAGCCTGGGACACTGTCGGTGAAGTCCCAAAGCTTGTGCAACGGTACACATTGGGCAGCCGCTACAATCGTGAAAACGACTTGGTATGTGGCAAGAACAATGATGGTTCTCTTGCAAAAATCTTCAAATCGTTTGTTGTAGGCTGTGACTTGTCAGCTTGGTTGGGATGTACGTTGCCTCCAACACCAACCTAGTCTGCGGTAGACCAAAAGTATGGAGATCTTGATCAAGGTTACAATCGCTGAGTAACCAACGAGCATGGCAACAATGAGCTGTGCGTATTAGCCTAGTTTGATTAGGAACTGAGATAAGCATACCCTGATGTTGCCGCCCACCTGTTTCAGAGACATGGTCAACGCCCTGAAGCCCATGTTGAACTGTAGCGCGCCAACTAAGGCTTCAGAAAGGTGTACCAAAGTGAGTAACTAGTACGTATTAGGCAGCTTCTTATGGTCGCTTTCTAAGCAACATACAGTGGCCACAATCATGGTCCAGTCCTCTAGACCCATGCTTCGAATAATGAATTTTCGCGTGTATACACGCAAAGCGACACATAGTACTGCTTGCTGTCAGTGAATGTTCCGATATAATTTATGGGTTACACATACCTCCAAGAACTGTCGTGACTGCTGAGACACAAATCAAGATAAGTCGCCGCTGGCGCTCGTCGCGCGATGGATGCATCGACTCATCCATGGCGCTCAATGCTCTTCATCAATGTATGGAAATGCAAAGTTTGTTACGCTCACAAATAGGACTCTATACCACCGGGGCATTAAGGCAGGATCCCAAGATATATCCAGCGGCTGTTCCACCCACATCCGATTATCCCTACCCGCGATTATCTCTGGCACACGGGAATCCACATAATTCAGGTTTTGATACAACTAGTTTACAGTGAACGCTATGGTGAAGACGGAGGGACATGCATTAGAAACACAGCAACCGCCACAACCATTGGCGCATGCGACCCACATGTTGAATTAGTACAGGGATGTTAGCGCAATCCTGTAGCCTCATGTCAGAAGTGCCAAGAGCACCACCTCGGGGCGTTCGGTGAAATCCAGGATTAGATTCAGAGAGTGTATTGTCGCCATCCATACAACTCGTGGTGAATGCAGTAGCCATTGCAAAATGCGAGATTATGTTGAGTATCCGTATTGACAAATATCGCCATTAGTTCTACAATGAAAGACATATAAAGTTATGAACGGACTTCCCCGACGAAACAAAGTCTTGCGGGCTCTTTGTCAAGAGATGTGACATGACCATTCGGCTTGACCACGAGACGGCAAGACAGTGCACAAAATACGAAGCATGCATCCCTCGACCGGATACAGCCGCTGCCATACGCACAAGGTCCTAACGGCTTTGGCCTAGTAACCCCAGACTCGGAATTACGGGCGTAAACTAACTGGTGCTAGTAAATTCACGTGTATGAAGGATCTAGTGTTAGAGGAACGTTTTAGCAGTTCTTGCAAGGTTCGAAAAAATCAGCCCAATCAAATCTTGATTTTCGCCTGAGATATTTCCAGGACGTTGTTGAGGAGCTATGAAGGAAGGGGTTTTTCGGTCTGCAATGCCGGTCATGTTTTGCTTGCCACCACACTACTGTAAGGGTGGTGTCAACACGAAACAGAGATACTTGCACAGAATAGGAAAGTTTTGAGTGCACAGCCTCGGAATTGGGAATGACGCAAAAGCTGAGTTTGATGATTGATAATTGCGGCTCTTGTGTGCCTTCCCACATCAACCACCAAGTACTAATTTTTAATAGAACTTGGAAAAGACAATCTCTTTCCCGAGTCGTTTCCTATTAGACATTGTGCCTGCTGTGAATAAAAAAGATAAGATAACCTGGGTACGCCCCAGGACTGCGCAATCATGCAATCATGCACACCGTTCAGTCGTTCCGTAAAGGAATGTATTGCGACAGACATGGTATTCGGCCAGACCCAAACACACGAGTCAAATGACCTCGAACGTGATTCCTTGTGCTACTCCTGATTGGTTTGATCACCATAATACCGTTGATAAGATCGTCCCGAGGCAACAGGAACAGGGGGGGGCCTTAACGTTCTTGAGCCTCGCAAAACGTGCTAATCACACACCGGGAATAGCGGAGACTGTACTATTCTGTCCTACCCCGCAAACTCGTCTCATCCACCGTCCTTTGTCCAGCCCTCGTCCTCGGGTCTGGAATCCACGGCCTCGGTCCTGTGGCTGACGATGTCGCCAAGTGGCTCTCTAGGATGATCCTGTTACTGATAAGACTTTTCGCCATCCTTGATCCGAATTTCTTACATACAAACTGCAGTATTATCTACCACACCTATTCGATTCAACACCACGCAACCCTAGCTACAAGACAACCAGGGCCCTGGATTCAAACTCACACCACTTTTGCTGTGGGACCGCTCAACCAAGGACCGAAAAATTGCCCTACTTGCTGCGATTGCCTTGGCAGTAGCTGTACTAAGATTCACGTTGCAAGGAAGTCGCGGCCACCCACGACGACCAAGTCCTTCGTCACGAAACAAATGCGACGGAGTTACCTGACTAGTCGGACTCTATGAGACGTTAGCCACAAGAGTTTCAGCTTCGAAGAAAGTGCTTACCCGCTTTGCTTACACGACGACATATATTACACGGTAAATTTGAGCCTCAAAAAGCTAATCGTTGGCGCCACAGCGCCGCACACCCAAATTCGGATACCCGTTGATCGCTTCAAACACCGGCCTTTTCAGACATTTCCTAGTTGAATCCTACTCCCTACTGACGTCCAACCAAAATTCACGGTTTACAGTAATTCGGCCGAATAGTGGGGTCTTGCCGAGGGTTAATCAACGGTTGCGTCCGTATTTGGTTCTAAAACAGAATATATAACGTCGATCGAAAAACTGGTTGCCGTTGTGTCTAGCTAGTCATGCAGAAACAAGAAGGCGCAAGGAGGCTGTAGGTGTCACTCCAGGTATGAAATGCGTTAGGCTTGACCTAGGCATGAACTGGGCAACTAGGACACGTGCAAGAACTGTCCGACGACAACCTGGCTTGCGTCCTTCTTTCCACGGTACTCCGCACACCAGCCTCCTGAGGTCTCCGAGAAACTCACTGAAAGGGAGCAGAAAAAAAGACATCAAGTTGACACGAGACGAACCTACAGCTTTGGACGCCTGATTTCGGGCCACCAGTTCCTTCGAGAATTTTTTTGGAATACGGCTGATGGAGCATTGCGTAATTTCCTACTACACGCCACTTGAATTTTCCATCCGAGGTGGAAATTATCATCAAGCGCTGCGCGTCTAGAACCATGATACTAGTAATCCATACCACGAGAGCCTGCTCCCAGCCACAGGCCGAGGTACCCGCCCAAGCCCGGATCACGATGCAAGTATCGGTGACCGAATCCCGTTTTCAATCACCCGGCCCGTATCTAGGGGGATGTCAACACCACATACCTGAATACTCGCCTACTCTCTAACTTTTACTAAAGACATACGTATCAGTGACTCAAGCTTGCTTCAAGGCATCCGCTCTGTAATCAGCGGGACAGCCACAGCACGGGCCCAGATACCCACCTGATCCAGTTTTGATCACGATACCCACACGTCTATCAGTGATCCATTTTCGCTTTCAAGTATCCGGTCTGCATCCAGTGACCACAGCTATACGAAGGAAAATGCACGAAATCCCAGACTCATCACTTCAATTACCAATCAAAACTACAATCGGTGAAAACGTCATTGTTGGACCATTTCACAGTAATCACACTGGAGACCACCCTCTAACACCATTCACCGCCTTACCTTCCCCTAGGCATGAATTTCATGCACCCTAGTCAGACTCCTAGCTGTCCCATCGTCCGCGACATTCCTACTCACAATGCGTCCCTTCACTTCCTCTCCAGCCGCCTGTTCCCCATCAGCAACATGAAAGCATAAGGACGCATCCACAAAATCCACATCGTCATCGTTCTCCGGCCGGAAAACAGTAACCTTGGTGATTACCTTCTGTCCCAACTGAGCCTTATGCTGCATGAGAAAATACGCAAAGGCCGCTCCATTCGGTGATCCTATTCCCCCCCGTTAGCACACACTATCTCTCTCCCTATCCCCCAATCCCCCATCTCCCTTCCCTTCATCCAAACCAACTCAACCTAGTAGACATAGTAGAACGCCACATACCTAACAACGCCCTCCCCTGCTCCGTCCCCATCCCAAACTCCGTCCCCGGCCACTCTTTCAGCGTCCCCCTCACATCCCTCAACGCACTCGCAATAAGCCTATTCGTAACATCGTTTGAAATCCCTATCATGAAGAAGAACCGCACGTTCGCCACGTGCGCGTTGTCGCGCACCCAGTATCCCCATAGGATATCGGAAAAAGTACGCAAGGCGGGAAGATCCTCGCGGTCCGGGGAGCGCTTGCCCGCGTACCAGAGGGTGCGGGCGGCGGATTGGGGACTTTCGAGGAAGAGGCCGTAGAGGGCGCCGCCGCGGGGGTTGATGGCGAATTCGTAGTGGGATTTCGTTGCCTATTTGCCGTTGTCAACTTTCTTTCCTTTCTCTCTTTCTTGGGAGTTTGTTTGGGAAAGGGGGTAGCTTACACGATACTGTTTCCCCATGCCAGGCACACTATACCACTGATTTATCGCAGCCACCTGATTCCCTCGCTCATCCCGCATCTCCGGGTCCCAATGCTCAATCCTATAACAGTGGTTGTCGCCGCCTTGGACGGCTGATGTGCCGCTGAGACCGAGCGAGCGCATGGCGTGCGGGAAACCCCAGTGCGTGGAGAAGCTGCAGCTGAAGGAGGAGGGGTTGACGCTGCACCAGTGCCAGGCTTCAAGTTCGGATTTTAGGTCGCTGGTGAAGGGGCTGGCGGCTGAGGGGGGGTTGCGCGTGTCTTGGAGGAGGGAGCCGGCGGTTTCGTCGGAGCCAGTTAGGCCGCACATGAGTGCGCCGCCTTTGGTGGTGTAGGTGGTCCATTCGCTGGAGGAGGCGTAGTCGTCATCCCAGAAAGCAGTGGTGAGTCGGAAGTCGTTGGTATCGGGGTTGGGGGATGCTGAGGGTGGTTTGATTACTCGGGCGGCGACGAGGAAGATGCAAGTTGCTGCGCTGATGGCGGTGCTGAATTTCATGATTCCGATCGTCGAGTTGGAATTGACACAATATTCTAGTTCAGCTATTGAAGAGCGGAAGGGAAATAAAGGCTCACTGATGCTTACAGATTTGTAAGTACAGTGCGAGAGAAGGAGTCTTGCATGCGACCTTGGCTGCCCGGACTGGAGTGAAAGTGAAAAGTCATACACGTACGAGCTACAGCTATGGTCAAATCTTGTGCTGTCTCTCAAAGCCTCCAGATTGACCACTTTTAGATTCATCAGGTGTTACAAATACAGGCTCAGTATTGTCAGCTTGTGAGATATGATGAGGAATCTTCTTCAGTCACGTTCGTGAACACAGCTATCCACTTACTCATAAATTCCATGTATTCTTAATCTTCTTTCATACAACCAACAAAATTTCTACCGCAATGGGATACCCTCATCATCACCCGCATCATCATCCATTTCATCACCGCCAAAGCCCTCACTACCGACATCGTCACCCACATCGAAGCGCATAAACTTTTCGTTCTTGGCCTCCGCTGCATAACTGTTAGTATTCCACTCTTACAAACGTAATCAAGAAAAAAAGTGGTAAACTTACTTCCCCATTCAATCACCTGACCATCCTGCACTTCACAGTCCTTGAGTACAGTCTTATCACCATCCTTTGCATCTCCACCCTCCATCTTACACCGCCTACCAAGAATACAATCAGTAAGCTGAACATTGGGACCGACCTCGACGCCATCCATCAATAAACATCTCAGCAACCGTGCACCCTCACCAATCTTGCAATTCGATCCGATAACGCTCTCTTTGATATTGGTCTTCTCCTCGACAATGACGTTGTCGGCGAGTAGCGAGTTCTCTGCTTCTACTCGGCATTTACGTGGGATAGACTCCTTGTGCGCAATCTTGGACTGGTGGGCAAACGGCGAAGCAGCTTCTTTTCCAACCTCTTCAATCGAGGGCAGCTTGGCGAGGCGGAGCGAGATGGTCAACAGGAGGTGGGAATCGTCAACGCGGCGGATAAGAGGCTCATTGGGACCCGAAGGCTGGACGTATGCGAGAATAGGCGGGACGGTAAGTTTCGAGTTTGCTGTGAGTGACTTTGCGGAGTCGGGTATGCTCGACGATCTGGTGACTCTTGATGCTAACGCAGTAGTCGAGCTCTCTTCGTTCTCTACGTTGTTTCCAGAGTATGTGGTGCTGAACTTGGAAACATCGATATCTTCCTCGACCATCTGGGATCCGTGATCCGACTCTTCATTCTCTTCTTGCAATATCTGCCGCAGACCCAACTTCTCGCCCAGGCCGTCTTGCCAACTAGCTTTCGCCCACCATCCCATTACTTCCTCACTTATGCTCTCAAACTTTTCATTCTTGCGAATCATTTCCATGACCCAGTAGGGGAAAATGTAAATGTGCGCGTCGCGGTGCGTCGTCAGCATCCTTATCCGAGCATGCTTTCTGATGAGTGAATGTCGAAGGGGAAACGTCTTTTGTTCTTCGGTAATATCGTTGAGAGTGTCTGTGGGAACCGAGTATACGAGTTTGGAGATGTTGCGTCTTAATGAGTCGGTGGGCACGGAGACGATTGGCTTGGGCAAAGGTGTTGTCGCAATGAAGTCGGTCTCTTCCTTCTTCCTGCTACCCTCACCCTTGGTCTCATACCACACACCCATTCCACCTCTTCGTCCTAGTTTTTCTCCTCCAGCACCATATGCGATCTTGCCGCCGTTGTGATCTAGCCCTCCACTTGCGCCTGCAAATCCGCCCTGTTCGACCATCCATGCGTCCACCAGCGATGTACCGTCCAGTTCGCATACAAGATCGCAAGGAAGTACGATGAAGTCACCCTTGATGGCGCTTTGTAGTTCAGGTAATCGGAAGAGGTCGCCGGTACTGGTCTGGTGCGAGAGACCTTTTGGTGCGAGAATGTCTGGTTTCGGTGAAGGGAGAGTTGTGAGATGTGGATTTTGCGACATGGCAGCCTCGATGGCCTCTAGTGATTCTGGCGGGGTAACGACTGTGATGTCTGCGTATTGTCAGCCATATACTACTTTGTCATCTTTTTTTTCTCCCAACCTACCTGTTACTCCCATGCGATAGCACCATTCCAGCGGGTACCAGACCATAGGCCGGTTGGCGATGGGCAGCAGTGCCTTTGGTATATCTTTCGGTGAAGATGTGAATGTACTGAATGAGGCTCCAGGTCCGCAGAGAATGAGGGCCTGGAAGCCCGGCGGGGGAAGGCTCGTCGCGTGTGGCATGGTTGAATAATTTTGGATGTGTGTCTTGGAGTAGTTCTGGTCGGGTATGGGGTCCAGTAATTTTCACAGTGGCCCAATCGATAAGAAGACAGTCGCATTGGCCTGCGTATCCCAGAGTAGGTGTAGGTCGACCGTCTGCTGACTCCTCTGCTGCAGGTACAGAGGAATGGTGTGGGGGTGTGTAAGAGTCACCCCGCTACGTCAAAAAGCGGACATGACTCGTAACAACAGCCTCGGGCCGCTAACGCATGTGTCAAGCATCAGCCTTGCGTTTTCCCCAGCCACCCACAACAACAGGGAAGCTCTGCACTGCTGACGCTTGAAACAAAACAACTCACGCCCCTAAAAGAAAAAGCAACAACTGCAGGATCCAAGCTACAACAGAAGACCAAAACTCTCCATAGCGACATGACCTAGAGAATGTCGTCTTTCAATTACGACCGTTACGACCGTCGCCAGTCGAGCTCACGCAACCGCAGCACCCTGGGCTTCTATGTTCCTCTGATCCTCACTGTGACTGTCGCGACAGCTGGCCTGGCGGCATGGGTGTGGAGCGCGCGCGAAGACGGGCAAGACTACTCTTCAGACGATGATCTGAGCTACGGCGAAGACAGTGCCCACGACAGGCGAAATGGCACGGCGCCCATGGGCCGTGACCTGGGGCCCGGGGGCGTGGGCGGTGAAGCATACAGCAATGATGCCACTCTGCTCGGCCGCGCCCAGGGAGTCATCCGTCGCACACCCTCGCCCCAGCAGTTCTTCGATACCGTGAGCAAGAAGACGGCGGCCGGCTGGGCGGCTGCCGGCGCTGCTGCCGGCGCTGCCCTGGCCTCGATCCGCGAGGAGGACAAGGACGAGGCCTTTGGCGACCACTCACGATGGAGCGAGGAGGCAGCCCTGAGAAGGAATGTCGAAGCCCAGAGCCGGGACAGCGCAGCAGCCGTAGACGCGCAAACCAAGAGCTTCGCGGCCAGCATGCGCAAGATCGAAGACAAGAACTGGGGCAAGCGCAAAACCGTCGTCCTCGTCGTCAGCGCAGAAAGCCTTTCAGAAAACCACTTCGATGATTCAGCCACCTACCGCGAAGAGAATGCAGTCAGCCTCCTCACGCTCCTCTCGTACTTAATGCCAATCACTAACACTAAACAGACCATCCTCTCCCACCTTCCCGACACCGACTTCTCCCGCATAAAGCTCTTCGTCCTCGTCTACTCCCCCGCCTTCCGCTCCCGCCCCCAGTCCCGCGCAAACTCCTCTCTCGGCGGCTCCTACTCTGCTATCAGCACCCCGGCGCGCACGCCCGGAGAGGAACTCTCCTCCATCGACCCCATTGTGTACACCCCTGCCCCCAGCACCCGCGACTCCGACGCCGCACTCTGGAACACGCTGCACCCGCAGGCCCTGCGCCTTGTCGAGGACCCCGCAATGGTCATGCCGTTTAGCACCCCAACGGGCTTCGTGCACATGCTGCGCCACATTGGCCCGGATCTCGTGTACGTTGTTGATGCGCTGAGCGGCGTCAATGGCCAGAACATTGAGGATGTAAGGAAGTGGGTTGGCCAGACGATTGTCGTTGTTGGGGGCAATGGCACGGGGTTGGGTGGCCTCGTCGATACGGATGATGAAGGCCCGCTGCGCAAGGGCAAGGAGAACGAGCACACCGTCAGGTGGTGGCAGGTCACCGACATGGTGGGTCTGGGTAAAGGCGTCGAGGTCGTGGATGCATCTCGACTTGCTGATGACTATGAGAGGCGCGTTGGCGGACGCGAGTAGACGAGTGTTTGTGTGTTTGCAACCTTTTTTTGAGATACGATGCTTCGCATGGGCGTTTGACGATTGCTTTATGTTTATACCGGGCCCCCCAAAGCCAATTTACGTACTTGACTGAACGAATACACTTATGCCGATGTTTTAATTTTCTTCAATTCGTCATTAAAAACTAAAAAGGGAAGTATGCCCCCCCTTTTTTTTAGACCAGAAACGCCTAATCCACACTCAACACCTTTGGCATAGCAGAAGAAAGATGTCGTAAAACAAGATACCAGGTTGGGAAATGTAAAAGTTAAAGTTTACATGCGGACACGAAGCAAGTACCGCAGCTTAACCTGCGCAACATCATACGCAATGTACTCATTGTACAACAAGTACGCTCCAGACACGTTCGTCTTACCAGGCGGAGTCGATACATCGGGCTATTCAACTCGTCAGTTTTCCTGGGGATCTAGAAAAAAAAAGGCAGAAAAAGCGTCCAACTTACCATGGAACATCCCTTCAGCGCGGGATTGATGCAGCTTGCATCCTTCCACTTACTGGGACCCGTCGAGCCCATTCCCCACGTACTATACTTGCCATTTTTGATCGCATCTTCACCAGCAGTGTACGAGGAATTGGTGAGCTCATGCATCGGGTTGCCCAACTCAGCCTCGCAAAGGAGGAGCAGCGCAGTGCCTCCAGAGTTGTACGCCGCGCAGTAGTTTGCGGATTTGGAAGACATGTCGGCGAGGTAGATACCTTTGCCGAACATGTAGCCTGATACGGGGGCTTCAGGGGGTGCAATGCGGAGACCTTGGCTGAGGATTCCACCGACTGCAGGTGCATACTGGGTCAGTGGTTGTTTCGCAAAGAGTTAATGGAGGAGAGGTACTTACAGTTGGTGACGCGAGAACCGTGCCATAAGAGACGGCGGTTGCTTGAAACCTTGGAGAACTTGCTCTTGTCAAACCGCTCGAATTCGCCCTTGCGTTCGATGCGGAAGATATCTTGGACATTGTAATTGACAGAATGCGTTTTGCCTTTTGAGCAATTAAGGTACTGGTCGATTTCGACAAACTCCTGGCTCTTGTGGTCAAGCGGTGTCATCTCTTCCATGCCGAGACCCTGGAATTGCTTGTCGAGCTTGTGGATGCCGCTGTCGTCCTTCAGCTGGCTCTTGAGCATGGCGGCCGTCTCCTTCATGTCTGACAGACTCTCGAGTAGCTCGATTTCCTTCTTAAGGGCGTCATTGTCACGGATGACTGGCGGACGGTTTCGGCCAAAGGCGTGTGGGATCACGGAAAAGTAGTGGTTGGACAGACGTTCTACCTCTGCTCGTGATGCTGCGTCGGTGTTGTCTAGAAGCACAGATAGCTCCTTCAAGGCTTGGAAACCACGGGCAATTGTCCCCTTGCTGAGCTTGCCCAGTGGCAGTTTGTTTGCATCGTAATTGAGGGCAGACATTGTGGCATCGAAATAATCCTACTTTGGGTGAGCTGAAGGTCTTTATGGCATGTGATCAGGTAACCAAATGAAAAAAGACTTATGCTTACCTGGTTGAAGATGAGCTTCATAAGGTCCTGTGTAGGCTTGTCAAGCGTGCACTCGGCGGGCTTGACGTCTTTCTTTTCGTCGTCCGCACCCGCACCTGTGTCGTCTTCCTCCTCATCGTCTGAGTCAGGGTTGTACGAACGCTCCACGTACGCGTACTTTCCTGATTTTGGCTCTGCACTACGATCCTCCCATTTGAGACCTGATTTTTCCCTGAACTTCTTGTTAAATTCCCTCATGGCATCATGCAAGCTGCCTGAGCCCAACACGGCGCTCGAACCACGCTCACCAACGCGGCCCCAGCGAGTCTGCAGGTTGAGGAATAAGATTAGTCCACAATACATTTAGATAAATGCTGTTTGAGGAATTGCTGCTTACCCAAGTTTTATAGTCTGATCCATTGACAAGAAGCTATGTCCATTAGTCGAGCCCAGGGCTCTTTATAATCAAAGGAACACACCTGGCATTTGTAAAACTTGTCTGGACAGATGAATACAGGGTTAGAATATGTGTCACGGAAATTGTCTTAGACCTATTGCTTACTGTTGTTGGCACTGGCGTTGGTTTGATTGAGTGACGCATCGTATATAGTACCATTGGGGTCGATGTATACCTGGTAGTTTGCAAGAGGGCAATATTCATCTATGGAGATGGCAATCGTCTTTGATTTCGCATTCTGACCATCTCCTACCTTGGCGTCCTCCTTAATCTTAGGTTTCTTTTCTTGAGACTGTGCTGGAGGAGTGGTAGAGGCAGGTCGTTTGTTTGAACCATTCTTCTGCGCCGGAGCTGCGCCAGACGACAGCAAGTACTGTGTTTCATCTACCTTGGAGCCTGCATCAAACGTCAACCTCAACACTTTATTTGCTTCTTTCAAAAGGGCCTCGTGGGACAGCATTATCAAAGTGTTATTGCAGCATACCTTTGGACTCGCATTCGTCCAGCCACTCAATGGTCACTACAGGCACGTCATGGGTAGCCGCGGCTTTGGTCTTGGTCGAGTTGCTCTCATAATCCTTTTCAGTTGCAATGAGATGGGTTGTGTTTGCCGTGACACTTGATGCAATCGTAGCACCCAGCGACGTAAGACGCGACTGAAGTGCGGATTGTGATGTTCCCGGGAAGCGGCCAGAGGTAGCGACGGAGCATCCATCCAGAGGTGGAGCGGCCTTTGGGGTGGCCTTTGGTGCAGCTTTACGAGGCATTGGTGCGGATTGAAGATTGAGAAATGTGATGCAGTCTTCAGCTGCAGCAGCGACGAGCGCCTTTATTTGAATCCTTTCAGGAAATCAATCAGGCGTCCGACCAGACGAGTGACGCGCGAAGGTAGCACCCTTAGGCATCAGCCCAGAAGGGGACTAGCTTGCCATGTCTGCCTGCGCGGCGGCGACGCGCTACCACATGATAAGAAGACCAAGCAAGACACGCACTGGCGCTGCCCAGTCCGTTTCCATCTCAGTCTTTGAGCCCCAACAATGGCATCGCTTCTCACAATACCGCTCGAGTTGCTCGTTGCAATCTCAGCCCTTCTACCGACTGAAGACCTCGGCGCCCTGCGACTGGTCTGCAAACAAACAGAAAAGTCTCTCTACGAATGGTTCTCGCAAGAGTTCTTCAGCAAGAAGCAGTTTATGCTCACGCATACAAGTCTGCAGGCGTTGATTGATATTTCCAAGCACGCCAGCTTCTCCAAGAAGCTGACACACGTCATCATTGCCACCAATGTCTATGAGGAGATACCACTACGCTTCAGGGATGAAGAGGCGGCTGCTCGATACGTTCAAGGCTACGAGGAGCAAAAGGCCTTGTTAAGTACAGGTGTAGACCGCGAAATGCTCTCAGAGGCATTCTCGCGGCTAGAAAACCTCCAGACTGTTGGTATTCGCAACTTCGACTCTAATAAGCGGACTCGCGATGGGAAGAGCTGGTCGTCCTGGGGTGCTACAACAGTATACCGTGAGACAGGAGTCCGGCTGAGCTTTGCGGATCGGGGATCATACTCGCCCGAAATCACGACGCGCTTTGTCTCCCGCATCTTCTCCAGTGTGCTATATGCCCTGGGGAGAGCCAATCGACAACCTCCACAATTCGAGGTGCTACTTCGTCAACATGGACTGCTCGATTCAGCTTTTTTCCTTCCAGACTTCTTTCTACCAACAATCGAGCCTGTCCTGCGCAACATGACCACACTTTTATTGAATGTTAGCCTGGTAATACGCCTTCTGCATACCCACAGCAACGGCGCTTCGGCCGATTTGCACCCAGGCCGTTCACTTCGACATTTCCTAAGACACACACCCAACCTAACGCATCTGCGGTTGAACTTTGAGAAGCACTTGGTCGCTAATAACGAGGCCTTTCTATCGTGGCTAAGCACACCACCACCACCCCCAACAATGCCTGTTTCATTCCTGCATCCCGACCCAGTCGCACTACCGTTGCTAAAAACGCTTGAACTGGGTCAGCAGAGTGTTAGGGCTGATATTCTCACCTCTCTCATTGCCAGATTTGCGCCAACGTTGGAGGATCTCAGTCTCTGGAGAATGAACATCCATAGTTTCACCCACATCCCCATGGGTCACCAGCCAAACTTCTGGAGAGACTTTTTTAATAAGGTCTCCAAAATCCCGCAGCTCAACCTCAATCACCTCAAAGTCGGCATGCTGCAGCAGGACCACTCGTATGTGAACTTTAGGGAAAAGGAGGACGCTAAGCCGCTCAAGGTCAAAGAACACACTGGAAAGGGAATGGATAAGTTTTGGGAAGAGTTGGCGGAACAAGTCTTTGTGGACCGGCAGCCTGAAATACCACACTCTAATGGCGATGATTCGGGTGAAGATGAGGACATGAATGACGAGGAAGAGGAAGAGGACGACGACGAAGGAGAAGAAGATGATGATGACAATAGCGATGTATCTGAGTCTGTTGAACAATACAATGCCGCACATGCGGGTTCTGTATGGTGAAAAGAAGATAGGTGGTTAGGGCCTTGGTGGTGGGTTTGCATACGTACGACATGTCCGGGCATAATCTTGTTCAGTTTGGCGTAAATGATAATGAAATCTTACGGACTCTTTGCATCTCACCTCAATGTCCATTGCTTGTGCTGCTACGGACAAGCATAGTAGCTTGGAAGATGTTGCGTGTTGATGCACATGCTTCGCCACTTTGAACAGTGAGAGAAACGAGTGGATTAGTGCCAATCGCCGTGTTCCTGCTCACACAGCGCTTTTGAAAAACGCGTGGAGCTGATGTGAATAAGGCAGGATTTTGCGGGGTAATCATGGTATAAAAGTCGCTCCTATAAGACACAAGGATGTTGACCGCTTCGTCGCCGCTACGTACTCGACCCTCACTTCACCTTGTCAGTGAGCACGCTCTCTGGCAAATTTTCTGGGCAAAGGTCACAGTCAGGCAGCACTCTCCGGCTTTGCCCATATTCCGTGCCAATTTGCGATATTCGATGTTGT